CGGAGCGTCACCAAAAGATCGCACAAGCGCCTCGGCAGCCCGCGTAAAATCGGCTTTGTCACTGTACTTGGAATCACCGATTTTCTAAATAAAACGCCTGCTCGCATTGCACCACAAGCCAATGCGCCGAAAGCTGAGTATAAGCGTTTTGAACGTCTTCAAGGTTCGATCCAGGGTGTGCCAGGCAATGGATGCAGTAAAAACACGAAGCAAAAACCACGGAATTCGTTAGGAAATGTTTAATTTCGTTTGGACAGAGGCAACTGTGACAACTTCTTCAATACTCGTTAATTCTTTCTCCAAGTAACAATCTTTGTCAATTGTGTGTCGTCTCTTTTCCAGAACACTCTTCTCTGACAAAAACTACTGCCAGAAGAGGTGATGTTCCGTTGCAGTTCCTATTAAAATGCTCTCCCAACTTTTCTTCGACTATTTCGCCGCCTGACCAATAATTTACAAAATAAATTAATATATTTGTATAGAAAGAAACATTAACACAATTAAAAACCACCCAATTTATACAATTCGACTTTATTTCTGACTTAATTTTTATTTCTTTCTGAACAAATATATTAATTTCTTTAGTAAATAATAAACAATTTACATGCTTCTGGAGGGTTTGTGTGTGTGTGTGCAACAATTTTTTTGCCTAGAAAGCATTTTTGAAACCAATTTTTGACTGCTTATTGAGGTTCAACCGTTCGGAATATCCACGTAGTTTATTAGACAAAATATGCTTAAAATTGTCTTAAGAGCTTATTTGCGAAGTTTCGACGTTTCCATCCCCGGACCCATATATACATACATATATGTCCATTTCGTATTGTCCTACATTGAGCATTATAATATGTGGCAACCCTGCTACCTGTGGTCAACTGACTGCGACGAAACGTGACAATGACTTATAGAAGTAATGAAGAATTACTTTCAAGCGCGCTATAACGGAGGATTACTCCCGAGGGAGGCGTGGAGATGCGTTGCGTCAATTCGGACGCACAAATTTATAAATTTATATTTATTTGTAAGCCTATTCTGCCTTTTGATCCCTATAGGGATCAAATAATCCCTATAGGGATCAAATAATGCCTTATTTCCAATCTATTTATTCAATGACACCCCTTTCATTGATTTGATTTGTTTGATAAAATGCGACGTGCTTCGCTTAGACTTAGAGCAATTAGAGAAATCTGAATGTGCCGCATGCGAAATAGGATCATCGGCTATAGACTACAATTTCAAGAAATTACAATTGCAAACAACAATTGACCCACGTGTGGTTCTCAGAAACAGTTCTTTGCAGGGTTGCCACGCGTCCTACTTTCGGTAGGACAGTCCTACAATCACAATGAATGTCCTACGTCCTACAATGAAGCCTAATGTGTCCTACTTTGAAAATAAAATATTGAGTTAGTTTTAATAAGTCTGTACAATCGATTTCTAAACGCCCGGATATGATTTTATGAACGTAACATTAATTTATCAACCCAACAAAAAAATTGCGTTTTACTACAAACTTCCACTTTTCGCCACTGCAGTAAGCGCTAATATCGCTCTGTTTGGATTTGAATTGTGATGGTCAAATGATGTATGGTTCCAAGAAAATGTATTTAAGTAAGCTTTAAGCTTTTTTTTTTTTTTTT